TGTTACACGTATTACAAGACGGTGAATTATGAGGACGCTGCTGATGTCCTCATTTCTCAAAAAGCTGGAGTGTGTGTGTGTGTGTGTGTGTGTGTGTGTGTGATGTGTGTGTGTGTAGGTGCTGACTGGCTGAGTATGAGTGTGTGTGTAGGAGTGTACAGGCATAAGCGAGTGTGTGTTTGTGTGTGTGTGTTTGTGTGTGTGTGTGTGTGTGTGTGTGTGACCTGCGCTGCTGCTGCTGCTCCTCATGTCGGCGTGTGTTGAGCTCTCGCAGTGCCTCTCGATGTCTCTCATTGGCCCGCTCCTGTCTCTCCACACGCTTCTGGGACACACACTGCTCATCAGGCTCCTGCGTGCGCACACACACACACACAGCGCTGACTGACCACCAGCGTGAGCACAAGAGGATGAGCTCTTTTATCTAAACGGTAGCTAATCTGCCGATGGGGTCAGTGAAATGATCTCATGTCAGAAAGAAAAACAAGATGTTGCTTGATTTTAAGAAAAAAATGAATTAATTTGGATTATTTCTGAAAATAAGACAGTACTTTTCATTGTCCAAACTCGGTCCTGGAGGGCCGGTGTACTGCAGATTTTAGCTCCAACTTGCCTCAACACACCTGCAGGGATGTTTCTAGTTAGAGCTTGATTAGATAGCCCAGGTGTGTCTGATTGGGGTTGGAACTAAACTTTGCAGGACACCGGCCCTTCATGACTGAGTTTGGACACCCCCTGCTCTAGAAGATCCCTCTTGATTTCAGAATGTAAAACAGGATGAAAGCATGTGTGTCAGAGTCAGCTGAATCTGCTTGATAGAGTGTGTGTCGAGCCTCACGTTGTGTGTAGCGCTGCGGTGGCCCTCCCCGACGGCGCTCAGGCTCCGCTGGTAGTGTGTGTGTAGGGCCTGCAGGCGGTGTGTGTGCTGCTGCTGCCAGTGCTGCTGCAGGGAGTCCGCCAGGGTCTGCAGCTGCTTCTGTCTGCGCTCCTGCACCTGCCTGCGCACCTGTGCAGCAATGAAGCGCTCCTGCTCTCGCACCTGAACACACACAATATGAGCACACACCACACCTGAGCTGCTGATAATACAGCACAAATCAGACTTATTGCACAGTACGTTACAGAAAAACACCGCTGAAGCAGAAGAGCAGTCTGAGTGTCATCCTCATGCCTGTCGTCTGCATTCAGCGGAGCACGCTTTGTGCTGTATCTGATCTACACTTACTAGCGCCGAATGACTGATAGGATCTGTGCATTTAACAAAAACCAGAGACGCATGATGTGTGTGTGTGACTCCTCTGTGAAATTACTCTTATATTCACTATTTGATCTGTAAATCTGTGAAATCAGACTCGTATTGTCTGTGTTTGTGTCTGATAAGTGAAATCAGTTTTATTTTCAGTGTGTCTGATGTGCAAATCAGTGAAATCAGACTCTTATGTTCTTAATGTGTGTGTCTGGCTTGTAAATCATATATGTGTGTGTGTGTGTGTGTGTGTGTGTGATCTAGGCATGGGACAATAACCGGTTGCAAGGTTTACCGTGGTTTAGAAAGTTTTAAAACCACAAAAATTTTCTGTTACACCATTTCTAAGGTATTTATAATGTTTTTTTAAATGTGTTTTATGTGGTATAGGGAAATCTGTGTTTTTGAAACTACTGAAGACAGCAGAAGCCAATAATCTATCTGAAATATGTCCTGACATATCGTCACCTTTAGAATTATAAGGTTCTGTCTGACATTTTTGTCAAAATTGAGTTATTGACATATTAAATGAAAACTTACTTACATTATAGGATGTTTTTTTTTATTTAAGTTTTTCACATTTTAAGACTTTTTTAATAAAAAAAAATATCTCAAAATCATTCAGAGCGCAGAGAGAGCCTTATAACTCCATAGTGACGATGTTTACTGCTCCAAAATACTATACGTTTCCTATATAAGTATAAAAAGTTTTTACCCAGACATGTGTGTGTGTGTGTGTGTGTGTGTGTGTGTGTGTGTGTGTGTGTGTGTGTGTGTGTGTGTGTGTGTGACCTGCTGTAAGCGCAGTTTCCTCCGTCTGTCCAGCTCTTCTCTCAGCAGCTGCTCCTCCTCATTCGGGCTGAGCTTCACGCGGCTCTCCTTTCTCCTCATTTCAGAGAGATCAGCTCATAAACGCGCTGTTTCTGCTTAATACTCTCATAATTCCTTTATTACCGGGAGAACCGACCGAACACACACACACCGATCCTCTGTCTCTCCTCCGGCCTCATGTCAACAAACTTTAACGGCCGCTGCTGCGTCACTTCCGGCATTTAAACCTCCCGCGGAAATCAGCGCCCTAAATTATTTAACAGTTATTTATTTATTGTTTAAAATTTGCACTTCAGTCCGACATAAACGCGCATTTCATACTAACAACGATTACATAATATAGCATAAAAGGCTCACTTTCCTTGCCATTTCCTCATGCGAGAACAGGCAACCTATTAATTATATTATATTATAGTGCTTCAACCGTAAACTTTATTTATTTATCGAGTTATTATCGCATATAATCAAATCAATGTTCAACATAATTAGTAAATATGCGCTTATGAATGCTTCAAATAAGCGTTAATACAAATCTCGTTTCCAGTTTGACTACGCCACGCCTCGCGAGAGTTCAGTAGCAGCTATCGTTAGCACACAAGCACAGCGGCGTCTCAAGCCTCGGGAGCAACACAAACAAACACACACACACGAAGAGAAAGAGAGTACAGCGTGTTCACAAATGTAAGTATGATAAAGAGTGTGTGTAGCTCATCATAAGCGTGTGTGTGTCGCTGTGTTTCGATCATCAGTGTGTGTGTTTCTCCATCAGAGTGCGCAGACACTCGTTTCATTGCAGATATAGTATATAACATTATAAACCTGTTTAATACAGTCTGCGATCTAAACTGAGGACACTGCAGCTGATCTAAGCCTCACACACACACACACACACACACACACACTACTCTCCAGCACTAGTGTAAATATTGATGAACACAGATGCTGTAGTCGCCGGGTGATGGGGGTTTTAATATCAGTAAAGTTGTGGTTATATTCGCACTTTCAAACTTTCCCCTTAATATTATTTCAGAAAAGTATTACTTGCCAAATTGGTCAATGGTATTAGCAGTCAGTGACTATCAAAGTACAACATTCACAGTGAATTAAGCAGTGCTAATGCTGATTTGAAGTCATTCTCGCTTCCGATTTCTGACCCAGTGCTCGATGTAGTGTGGTGGAATATCAGACATCATGTCACGAGCTGTCACCTTGTGCTCATAACAGTATTATAATCAATATTAGGCTGTTTATAACGTCTGAATGTGTGTATATAAAACCAACTTTACCTCAATGATCCTGCAAATCATATTGTGGTGAGATCTGCTATATTTTGTTGGATATTATCATCCTAAAAGCAGATGACTTGAATATATGTATTTGTTTAGATTAATGAATGTGCTCACTTGGTGGGAAAGAGCATGCACATTAAATATAACAAGCATGGAGGAAGAAAAGCAGGAGTTACTGAGGAAGTGCACTGTGTTTTGTAGTGTTCTGACAGTATTTAGGTATACTGTGTGTTCTAACACTTGTAGAGCTGCTCGATATTGTTGTAGGGTATTACAGTAATGATATGTCTCATGATGTAACATTCACCTTGAAAACTGCTGTTTTTATTAGCTTTTAAATGATTTATTTATGTGATGATATGTTAAAAAACAAGGTGTCAAGGGTATAACATTTGTGCTGCGTGCCAATTCTCATACTTATATACTGTTGAGTGTGTAACAGAAGAGTATGCAAGCTTTGGGACATGCCGCTTCCTCCTAACAGATCGTTATGTTGCTTATCATCCACATTTCTGTCATATTGCAGCAGGTTAATCAGCAGAGTTTTTTCTTTGGGTAATTCTGCATTAAGATGTTAATGTCCACACATACATTTATATAAGTTCACATTGTTGTTAAAGATGAGATATAACATTGAAAACATGGTTTAAACATGTTCCAGTGGGCTAGATATTAATTAACAGCCATACAAACATCTTTACCAAAGCGCCTCTATGTGATGGTTGGTCTTGCATGTTCACCATGTTTGTAGTCTATATACATTTTCTCACTGGTATTTGTAGTTCTAATCAATTTCACGTCCAGTGCACTGTGGGCAATATCAGCGGTTGGAGTATGTACGCTTCTACACTTCACATTTTTACTGGAAATCGTAAACCATCCGGGAACCTTTGGCATACTCTTTTCAACATACTACAGTTTAAGACATGCTAATTTAATTTTTAGTATGCAAATAGTAAACTAAAATGAATTCTGTGCAAATTCAGTGGATGCAGCATTGGTCTTTAAAGCAGCGAGTGAGTGCAAACCTCAGCAGATATGCTGACTCTGATTGGCTGTTGTAATTATCCTGCCATTAGTGTTTATTTTCAGCTCTGGCTCCAGCCAATGCCAGAACAGCCCCTGCTGAGGGGGCGGGGCTAAATATAGTGAGACCTCATCTGATCGGTCAAATTTAGATAAACAACCAATGCATAAAATAATTGTGATGCTGCGGTCACGCTAGCGTTTGAGCATGTGAAATTCTGTTGTACGGCCAGTGGCGTAGGGGAACGCCAGCTTATCACGCGGGGCCCACTATGTACAGTGCTGCGAAAAGGGGCGGGATTAAACAAGACGATTAGACATGACAAAAAGGCGATTGGTCCATGTTTTACGTTTCTGTCCAGTTATTTCAACCTCGCTTCGTCTCTCGCAGTTTAGTGATGCGGTCAGAGTTCTCCACGCTTGAACTCTACAATGCAGCGATTTGTGAAACTTGACGCATGAGCTTGCGTTTCCGCTCTGACGCATTCGTTTGCATGTGAATTGAAGTTTATGGGGGGAAAAGCGCAGTGTGAGCGCAGCTTAATTGTAGGAATTTAATTGGGCATTGTGTTCACATGCTCAACAGAAATGGCTGTGATTGGCCATGAAGGTCATCAGTTCACCGCTCTTTACTGAGTGCATACACAGATACAGGGGCACTGGAGCGTTTTAAAGCCGCGAAGATCCGCTAGTCTGTCTATGAGCTGATATACAAGCAATCTGCTGATAGGTCACTGATATACGCGGCTTTAAAACACTCCAGTGTCCCTGTATCTGTGTTTGCACT